CTCTTTACATCAGCCCCTTCCCATCAGGTACAGTAAGCCTTTACCCAGGAGATCTGAATAGCTCTTTACATCAGCCCCTTCCCAGTAGGTACAGTAAGCATTTACCCAGGAGATCAATAGCTCTTTACATCAGCCCCTTCCCATTAGGTACAGTAAGCCTTTACCCAGGAGATCAATAGCTCTTTACATCAGCCCCTTCCCAGTAGGTACAGTAAGCCTTTACCCAGGAGATCAATAGCTCTTTACATCATCCCTTTCCCAGTAGGTACAGTAAGCATTTACCCAGGAGATCAATAGCTCTTTACATCAGCCCCTTTCCCAGTAGGTACAGTAAGCCTTTACCCAGGAGATCAATAGCTCTTTACATCAGCCCCTTTCCCAGTAGGTACAGCAAGCCTTTACCCAGGAGATCAATAGATCTTCTCATCAGCCCTTTCCAAGTAGGTACAGCAAGCCTTTACCCAGGAGATCAATAGATCTTCTCATCAGCCCCTTTCCCAGTAGGTACAGCAAGCCTTTACCCAGGAGAGCAATAGCTCTTTACATCAGCCCCTTCCCATCAGGTACAGTAAGCCTTTACCCAGGAGATCTGAATAGCTCTTTACATCAGCCCCTTCCCAGTAGGTACAGTAAGCATTTACCCAGGAGATCAATAGCTCTTTACATCAGCCCCTTCCCATCAGGTACAGCAAGCCTTTACCCAGGAGATCTGAATAGCTCTTTACATCAGCCCCTTCCCAGTAGGTACAGTAAGCATTTACCCAGGAGATCAATAGCTCTTCACATCAGCCCCTTTCCCAGTAGGTACAGCAAGCCTTTACCCAAGAGATCAATAGCTCTTTTAGTGGTGTTCCGATGGTCGATTATAATCGAAAATTGATTGGTTACCCTTTTCCGACGCGACTATCGATTGCAAAATTTCATAATCGATTGTCGCTAATAATTTTTACGAAAACAGTAATAGATACCCAACTCAGACCACAAGACAACTGGCAGTTACAGATGATTATAACTTCGGTCCTCATTATTCACAAAATTCACAATCATATTGCGTCTACTTACGCCTTGAAATGAAGTGAAGTTGACTGAAAATGGATACACAGTGTATATATTTTGTTTCGCTTAATGTCATATTAATTGTAGCTGTCACAACAAACTGGCATGCACACTCCGGCGCAGCGATGACTTGCATGTTTACCTCATTCCATGAGAGTACAACTTCTGCTTACCTTGTTCATGACGGACGTATCTAAATACATAATAACCCAGCTGCAGAATATAAAAAATAAACAAAAGGAACAAAAAGTCTAAATAAATAATGATCTGCCAGTAATGTGTTCAGATAAATAAGCGAAGTTTTGGTGAAATCATAATTGTTGTTAGCTTTCACGCCAAACAACATGGCGGCTGCCGACCGGGTTGATGTCGATGAAATATTCAACTACCCTTGCGGGAAAGGCAGATCCAACGTTTGGAAGTGTTTCAGATGTTGGAAGAAATGTCAGGGGTCCCCAACGAAGGAAAAACTTGACATGTCAAAGGCGATTTGTCGTATTTGTCGAAGGGAATACGCAAACAAAGGTATCGACTCATAATTTCGTGATACTAACAAGTGAATAGTCTAATAGAAAAGTATCATCATGTTATACGTGCATGATATGAATCCGTCCATACTCTTAAGTCTATTACTATCAGTACGAAATTTGAAACTACAGAATACATACAAACAAATTGAAAAGTTATTGAAAACGAATGACATGTAGGCCTTGTGACATGAATTATCGTAAATCAGGTTAAGACTTGAGTACCCTTTTACTTTGCTATGTCAGAGTCACTTTTGGATATATATCTACTTGCAAACATAAAATATATGAAATAAATCCTGAAAGTTGATTTCATAAATGATAAAAGATTATTTATTTGTCGAAATCAAGAACATAATTGATATTTGTCTTGTACTTAGTCGAATTTAAAATATATGTTTGTGTCTATATATTTCAATTTCAATGAATCCTCCAATTTCGTAGAATTTCTAGTGAAACGTGACATGCGTAGTTTAGGCTAAAATTTGTAGCCACTAGTATGATAAAATTGTTGAGGTTGGCATCTCTGGCATTGATGGTAAATAAATAATAAACCATAAAAAGAACAAATTCTTTTTCTTTTCTTTTGTTCAAATTCAACCATCTGTCTCTGAACTGAACTTACTTACCTTTAGGAGTCTGAGACAATACCAAACACATGGTCTTGTGTAACATATGTTTTATTCAGAGGTTATTCTTGTAATTTCCTTTAACCGATTATTAACCGATGATTGATCGGTTGAGCCAATCCGATTGTAACCGATGATCGATTATAAAATCACAACCGATTCCCAACACTAAGCTCTTTCCATCTGCCCCTTTCCCAGTAGGTACAGTAAGCATTTACCCAGGAGATCAATAGCTCATTGAGTAATTTACCCAAATTATGTCAACCCATTTGCATCAGTCCACTAGGTCATCAACCAACTAGATCATTAACCTACAAGGTCATCAATCCACTCAGTTATTTGCCCACTAGGTCATATACCCGGAAGGTCATGAACCTATGGTGTCAATTACCTAAGAGGTCATTAACCTACAAGGTCATCAATCCACTCAGTTATTTGTCCACTAGGTCATATACCCAGAAGGTCATAAACCTATGGTGTCAATTACCTAAGAGGTCATTAACCTAAAAGGTCATCAATCCACTCAGTTATTTGTCCACTAGGTCATATACCCAGAAGGTCATAAACCTATGGTGTCAATTACCTAAGAGGTCATTAACCTACAAGGTCAGTAATCCACTATGTTATTTGCCCACTAGGTCATATACCCAGAAGGTCATAAACCTATGGTGTCATTTACCTAAGAGGTCATTAACCTACAAGGTCCTCAATCCACTCTGTTATTTGTCCACTAGGTCATATACCCAGAAGGTCATAAACCTATGGTGTCAATTACCTAAGAGGTCATTAACCTACAAGGTCCTTAATCCACTCAGTTATTTGTCCACTAGGTCATATACCCAGATGGTCATAAACCTATGGTGTCAATTACCTAAGAGGTCATTAACCTACAAGGTCCTCAATCCACTCAGTTATTTGTCCACTAGGTCATATACCCAGAAGGTCATAAACCTATGGTGTCAATTACCTAAGAGGTCATTAACCTACAAGGTCCTCAATCCACTCAGTTATTTGTCCACTAGGTCATATACCCAGAAGGTCATAAACCTATGGTGTCAATTACCTAAGAGGTCATTAACCTACAAGGTCCTCAATCCACTCTGTTATTTGTCCACTAGGTCATATACCCAGAAGGTCATAAACCTATGGTGTCAATTACCTAAGAGGTCATTTACCTACAAGGTCCTCAATCCACTCAGTTATTTGTCCACTAGGTCATATACCCAGAAGGTCATAATAACCTACCTACAAGGTTATTAACGAAAGAGATCGTTTACCCACCATGTCAGTAGGTAAGTCATTAACCCACTTGGGTATTGATCCACTAGGTATTGATCCAGATGGTCATTAACCAAATCTGTTATTATCTCACAACGTCATTAACCCACATTGCTATTAGCCATTTTAACGACTCGTCACATAGATCATTAAGCAAATTGTCAATATGGTAATCCAGTGAGATATTCTCCGTGTCAAGGCAATGAGTCCCAGCATGACCCAGAGACAATAGCCTTTACTTGGTGACATGTGAAGTTCTCACATCTTCCTGAATCTCATCATTTTCACATAGGCCTTGAGTAGTTTATGTAGCTGATGAAGTATGTGGATAAGAAATAATTCATAGCGCATGCGCAGTGAATAGGTTCGCGCAGCTTGAAGCGGGATGCCCGGATTATAAGGTCATGAGCAGGAGTAGTCTAATCTTGGATGTGTACACAAACAACAAATAGTAAATAATCTACTCGTTACATAAAAGAACCTTGTTAAGGATCTAGATCTAGTCAGGTTGCACAACCTGTGAACCTAGATTCGTTCACTTTGATTTAGAGTTATCTGCCCCTGTTACTTCTTAAACAAACATGGCAGCAAATACGGCATGCGACACAGAGTTTGAAAATGTGAATAACAATAAGTTTATGTTTTAACTGTTCACTTGATCGGGGTTTCAAGTTTCTTGTCAGTTATCAATAGAGACTGAAACTACTTCAACTTGTGTTTATTGCATATTAAATACATATTCATTTGGGAGATGACTTGAAATGAGACAATTGAAGGAGAAAGAAACTATTGGAATAGTATTGCAATAGTTGGTTGCAATAGACTATCACTGTCACAGTAGTATGTTGCAATAGACTATCACTATCGCAATAGTATGTTGCAATAGACTATCACTATCGCAATAGTATGTTGCAATAGTCTATCACTATCGCAATAGTATGTTGCAATAGTCTATCACTATTGCGATAGTATGTTGCAATAGACTGTCACTGTCGCTATAGTATGTTGCAATAGTCTATCACTATCGCTATAGTGTGTTGCAATAGTCTATCACTATCGTAATAGTATGTTGCAATAGACTATCACTATCGCAATAGTATGTTGCAATAGTCTATCACTATCGCAATAGTATGTTGCAATAGACAATCACTATCGCAATAGTATGTTGCAATAGACTATCACTATCGCAATAGTATGTTGCAATAGTCTATCGCTATCGTAATAGTATGTTGCAATAGACTATCACTATCGCAATAGTATGTTGTAATAGTCTATCACTATCGCAATAGTATGTTGCAATAGACTATCACTATCGCAATAGTATGTTGCAATAGTCTATCACTATCGCAATAGTATGTTGCAATAGACTATCACTATCGCAATAGTTGTTTCCCCCTCAATGGTCACCCCTAGTGCCTGATGGTGATGATGATCGCAATGATGGTTTGGAATAGTGACGGCGACGGTGCCTGATATAGTGATGATGATGATGTTGTTCTTGATGTTGCAGGTGATGGAGACAGAGAGGATGTTATATCTGGTCACAGAGTATGCGAGCGGAGGGGAGATATTTGGTGAGTTCACTGACTGTGGATAATATTCTTGGAAATAATCACAGAAAAAACTCAAAACAAAAACACTGGTCAATTTGACAAAATAGTAGTTAAAGTATTCAAGTATTTCTGTCTGCTAGACAAATCAAATACAGTGCTGCTAGAAACTACTTGCCGACAAGACGAATACACTGGGGCACTAGACAAATACACTGGAGCACTAGACAAATACACTGGGACAGTAGACAAATACACTGGGACAGTAGACAAATACACTGGGGCACTGGACAAATACACTGGGGCACTAGACAAATACAATGGAGCACTAGACAAATACGCTGCACCACTAGACAATTTATAAAATGGCATGATTTCTTCTTAATCATTTATACAATTTTTGCCATGGATGCACTTTTTTGTGACAGTCCAGGGGCGGTGGGGTAGCCTAGTGGTTAAAGCGTTGGCTCGTCACGCCGAAGACCCGGGTTCGATTCCCCACATGGGCACAATGTGTTAAGCCCATTTCTGGTGTCCCCCGCCGTGATATTGCTGGAATATTGCTAAAAGCGGCGTAAAACCAAACTCAGTCAGTCAGTCAGTTTGTGACAGTCCAGTGACTGTGTGTGTTGAAATATTGATCTGCTAGTCTTATTCATGTACATGTGATGTACATATCTCATTCAGTTCTTGACATTTTCACAAGTTTGTTCGTCATGAAAAGTCTGCACATTCTAGCAGGATCTCGGTTTTTGTCAACAAAACCTGATCATTTATTTTTTTTAACTGTAAACCAAAATCTTCTCTTTGAAAGTATCTTAAATAGTTAATGTTTTTGTGGCTGACTATGTTTCTTAAGTCTGACTCATATTTATGTTTCTCAAACATTTTCTAAGATATTTATACCCCCTGCAACGCGTTTTGCGGGGGGTATTAAAATGGACTCTGTCCGTGTGTGCGTGCGTGCGTGTGTCCGTCCGTGCACATTTGTCTTTTCCGGAGCAGAACTCTAAAACCGTTCAATATTTCTTCACCAAACTTGGCACATAGATAGATCTGGTGGTGTACTGGTGCCTTTTGGTAGTTTTGGAATTCTGAATGCAACATTTTTGGTGTTTCCATGGCAACAAGTTCGACTTAGAATGAAATTAGTGGTAGTGTTCTTTTCCGGAGCAGAACTCTAAAACTGTTCACTATTTCTTCACCAAACTTGGCACATAGATAGATCTGGTGGTGTACTGGTGCCTTTTGGTAGTTTTGGAATTCTGAATAAAACATTTTTGGCTTTTCCGTGGCAACAAATTTCACTTTGACTGAAATTGGTGATAGTGCTCCTTTCTGGAGCAGAACTTTAAAAACCTTTCAATAATCTCATTCCACTTTTCTCTATACATACCGAAATATTTGACATAATCATAACTCGTAGACATAATCATGAAGAGTATTTTGCCATTGCGGGGAATATTAATGACTTTGTCTTCTTGTTAATTCTTAGTTATTCGTCCCTCTTACACTTGATTGCCTCTTTGTCCTGACACTTGTTTCTGAATGAAATTGAAGAAAATTGAGCTTGAATATAATTTATTTTGTCCATGATTTTGTCGTGTCTTTCTTCTCGGTGGTCCCCCAAGATCCAATCCCCAGGAGTTACATCCCCTATCTGAAGCCTGTTGAAACCTCATATTTTATCCTGTGGCCAACTACATGCATGGTTTTTTTTGTCTTCTGAAAAACAAATATGTTAAAACACCAGGGTTTTACACAGACTTTTAAACATGGGAGTCATGGTGACTCACCATATTTATTTTTGGGAGTCATTTTCAATATTTGGGAGTCATGAAAAGTTTAATATTTCTTTGTGCTAATCATTCTCAGCATGTAAATGCATGTGACACCACCAAATGAAACTACAGCAATGTTCAATTCAAACAGCCAGGATTACTGTCTCCTCCGAGTTCTTTGGAACAATCTGACAATATCTTTTTTTGCTTAATATGAAATCGATTTTATTGAACTGAGTTGTGAGGGTCACCCATAAAACTTGCGTCAAGCTTGACTCGTATGCTATATTTTGAGAGTCCTTTACAAAACTGTTGCGTCAAATGCGCAGGAGTTAGCGCGTCATGTAAAACCCTGAAACACCCAACATTTTCTAAGACTTTGCTTCTTATTTTGTTATCATGGATAAATCTAAAGGCTGTAACTGCATTACGCCTTCCCCTTCAGGTATGAAAAATTGCTCAGACTACGGGAAATTTATGCCTCCTCAGGATCTGCATGGAGATTGCTGTGGGTGTGGTGACACTCCTTGCTCTTTTTCTCACATTGTCAGTAGCTATCTCCCTCAGCTTTCGAGAAATATGCTCTGGTTGTTAAAATAGGTCGAGAAATAAAGATGTAGAAGAAACTGCAGGTCTGCAGCCAAGGTTCCTGCAGAGGTGACCATATATAGCCAGTGAGATTCAGGGAGCTAAGCGTCCCTCTTGATCATGGCACATCCCACTGGCCGCTAAACCCAAGTTTGTTTCTTGGGAAGCCTTGTTGGCAGCTCTAAAACCTTCGGAAATTTAATGAAAGGTCTGGTGTGTGAGCGCTATCCCCAAATAGCAGATCTTCCTCGTTCTCTTAAGAGAGCCAGGTTTGAGATTAAGACATGGACCATACTGGCTTCTACTGTCAGCTAAGGTATGCCCTGACACGTAAGACATGGACCATACTGGCTTCTACTGTCAGCTAAGGTATGCCCTGATACGTAAGAAATGGACCATACTGGCTTCTACTGTCAGCTAAGGTGTGCCCTGATACGTAAGACATGGACCATACTGGCTTCTACTGTCAGCTAAGGTATGCCCTGACACGTAAGACATGGACCATACTGGCTTCTACTGTCAGCTAAGGTATGCCCTGATACGTAAGACATGGACCATACTGGCTTCTACTGTCAGCTAAGGTATGCCCTGACACGTAAGACATGGACCATACTGGCTTCTACTGTCAGCTAAGGCATGCCCTGATACGTAAGACATGGACCATACTGGCTTCTACTGTCAGCTAAGGTATGCCCTGATACGTAAGACATGGACCATACTGGCTTCTACTGTCAGCTAAGGCATGCCCTGATACGTAAGACATGGACCATACTGGCTTCCACTGTCAGCTAAGGTATGCCCTGATACGTAAGACATGGACCATACTGGCTTCCACTGTCAGCTAAGGTATGCCCTGATACGTAAGACATGGACCACAACTTTGATCTTAAGGACAGCCCGTGTATTGATAGTTTGGCAAGTGTTCATCTAGCAGAGGTTACAGACCATACCGGCCACATGGTCTGTAACAGGATGCCTGATACTTTGGAGGACATCAAAAGTGACCACAGGATCAGAGATAACAGTACATGATGATGATGATACAGTACATGATGATGATGATGATGATGATGATGATGATTTGGAGATTTAACGTGCGCTTTCCGACATGGAACAGTCCATGCACAGAGGGTTGTTCTAGTCCTGGCGCAGGCAGCTTTGGCTGTACAGACCTCAGGAACAGTTTGCATAACCGAAAATGCATATGCCCAGGAGACGAGCGTCGCCTGGCGTGTATGCATCTGTCTTATATGACTTTAAGTGGAACCGATTCCTGCAGTTTAAGAGTTTGATCTGGAACAGCCAATGACCCCATAACAGTGATGATTATTGCAGATTTTCTGTTATATCTTATGAAGGTCTCCATTCTATTCCCAGTAAGAGCCCAAAAATGGTATTTGCATAGGACTTCCACATTTCGTCGTGGATGCTGCGTTCTCTGGATGTCTTGTCAAGAACAGTCAGAGAAAGACACGTCCAAGAACTCAGTGGAGGCTTGGATTGAAACATAAATAGAATTGACTAAAACTTAGAGCGACTGCTTCGGACTTAAAGCATCATGGAAGACCATCACACTAGAACAGATCATATCAGCTTGCCAGTGGGTGTCTTTGAACTCTTTAAAGTCATTCTCTCTGAAGAATGTCACCCAGCACCTTCAGGGACTTGACAACCTTGGGTTTCTGGCCAGTCTGTCCTTAGAATAATTGCTGATAGAAATACCTTGATTTCACAGACTCTGGTGTTAAACAGGGATTGTCATCCTGAGATCTGACAACAACTGGGTAAACTGTCACAACTGTGGGCGAGATATCAAAATAACCGGGACCCAGGGTGCATTGTTGTGAACCTGAAAACGTTTCTCACTGCATTTTGTGAGTCTAACCAGATATGACGTCATAGTCCATGGTTATATTAAGTACAGCAGCAAGAAAGTGTTGTCACCGCAGCCAACCACAGGCCTATTTGTCTTATCAATAAACATTTGTGGTTTGTTGTCTTCCTAACCTACTGGGTACTTTAGTCCCACCAAGCCTGTGGGCTTCAGCCATCAAGTGTTAAAGGAACACATTCGTAAGAATTTTGAAATATTATCAACAATGATAATAATTCTTAGAATACTGCCTCTTAACACTTGAGGTAATGGCCCAACCAACCTGACCCCACGCTAGGACATATAATGCGGATGCCTCTGCTTCCTTTAGGGGAGATAACTTCTGCAGATAGCTCTTGAATAACCACTAAGAAGAAAGACAACACAATACCATGAACTTTATAATTGTATTCAAGATAAACCTGTGGATTCAGAGACAAGGTAAAAAGCAATCAATTGTGAATCAAGTATTCTAAGAATTATTGTCAATGTAAATATGTTTTGATTTTTGCCTTCAAATATTCATCATATATATGTAACCATTTTTGCCATAGCTTACAATTACGTACCGCTGGGTATGTACACCACCCTGCCCTGACCCTCATGACAGCACCACTCTGCCCTGACCCTCATGACAACACCACTCTGCCCTGACCCTCATGACAACACTACCCTGACCCTCATGACAACACCACCCTGACCCTCATGACAATACCACCCTGACCCTCATGACAATACCACCCTGACCCTCATGACAACACCACCCTGCCTTGACCCTCATG